GCAAAGAAACTCGAGTGATGCCTCAAGATAAAAGATAAAATTTTCATTAATAACTTTTGAATACCATGCCAGTTAGCTTCTGGGTGCAATTCAAGGTGCTAGTTGTTTCAGGACATGATTGACTTCAATAGGTGTAAGTATACTCTATCTAGATTTATCCCTCTAAATTTAGGATAGGGGCAACTTCTTCCAATCCACATGAGTTGGATTGTAGTTTCCACAATTTCAAGTTTTTGGCCTCCGTATGTCCTGTTTTTGGCCTCTGTGCAGGACTTTTGTGGAGGCCGAAAATAGGGCGTGCAGAGCAGAGGTGGGTTTCAGCAGGTTCTGACCAGTTCTGGAGAACCGGTAGCGGAAATTTTGAGTAGTTCGGAGAACTGGTAGTAAAAATTCTGACTGGCCTTGCCCCCATCTATTCTCTGCTTCCCAAGACCCAGGTGATCGGGAGGAAATGGGGATTTTGCAGTAACCTTCCCCTAGATTGGGGACAGAATGGAGAGTTTACAGTATCTTCCCACTGCCCACCCACTGAGCCATGCCCCGCCCACCAAGCCACATCCACAGAACCGGTAGTAAAAATTTTTGAAACCCACCACTAGTGCAGACGCCAAAAATGGGACACATGGAGGCCAAAAACGGGGCACGGGAAGGCCAAAAACGAGGTGCGTGGAGGCCAAAAACGAGGTGTGTGGAGACTGAAAATGGGGAGCGCGGAGGCTGAAAATGGGGTGCACAGACGCCAAAAATGGGGCCTGTGGAGGCCGAAAATGGGACATGCGGAGGACAAAAACAGGACGCACTGAGGCTGAAAACAGGGCACGCGTAGGCCAAAAACAGGGCGCACAGAGGCCAGGGCGTGTGGAAGCCAAAAACGGGAGTGCGTCTTATGGTCAGGTGCATCCTATGGAGCGACAAATATGGTAATAGCCAACGTCCTTAACAGCTTATTAAATTGAAATATTTTTTCAATTCTTATATTAAATTGGCTCTTCAGCTAAACTGCCCTATTGAAAAATGTGCGCACCTTACATATGCTCAAAATTCATTGTAAAAAAATACAATTTGAAAATTTTATTGGGAAAATATGAAATATTTTCAAAATCAGTGTCAAGGCTTGAATTTCTCCTGCTGTGAAATAAAACTTTCCATATGTCAGCAATAGCTTTCTTGTCTGTTAAAAATGAAATTCATTAGCATAAGAAGCATTTGCTCATAGATTCTGGCATCTCACTAAATACTCATGTGTGAAAAGGAAAGAAAACACATTCCTTTGAACATTGGACTTTATTTTTGAGCTCTATAAAGGAAACTGCAAAATAAACAGCAGATTACCAGATGGTCTGATGAATCAACAATAATAAAAATTTCTAAGCTCAAGGTTATAAGATATTAGGATATGATTATCTGTTACAATGCCCTAACTCTGAAGTTACTGCTTTAATAAAGAAAGACAGCACTGTTTATAATTACAGTGTACAAACTCAGAAAATGAAGGGCATGTAATGAATACACCGAAAGCTTTAATTTTCTGCATTAAAGGATGCATTTTACACCATTCCTCATATGAAAATATAGCTTACAAATATCATAAGTGAAACAATCCCTTCTTGCAGAAGTTACAGATTTAAAAACATACAACGAAACAGGATTAAAAAGAATAGGAAAAGTGTCGAATCAGAGCCAAGTGGTTTTCAGTACCACAATCAGCAGATCAAAGAGATGGATCTGCCCATAAACAAGCTGTTATATTCTATTACTCAAGTGGCCTTGGGCACAGTGAGTGGCTGGAGAGAGGAAGGGTCCAGCTTTTGCAACTATATATTTCTGTTTACCCAAAGAACAGGAGTGGTTTTGCCAAACTGGACACGGTATAACTGCATCAATTCTATATTGAAAATCTAGCACTAGTTACAAGCCTTTTCACAGCCTTGATTTGAGAGTCTGGTTTTAAGTTTTAAAACCCTAGATGCTTTTAAATCAGTTATCTGCAGGGTAAAGCATTTCTGTTATTATGGGTAACAATTTCTCAGAATAATTTTTCAGTTATCAAAGCTACAAAGGGACTGCCCTCCAGAGTTTGGAAGCAACACCAATAGCATTTTTTAAAAGGCTCTTCCCATATTTGTGTAGCTGTCATTAATCTCCATACAAAGATTATCAAAAAAAGTATCAAGGAGCTGCCCTTGAAGAGCATCCAGAAGCTCCAGTTGGTGCAAAATGCAGCGACCTTCATGGTTTTGTGCAGACCTCGGTGCGCACATGTATCACCTCTCCTGCAGGAGCTGCATTTGTTGCCGATTTGCTTCCGGGTGCAATTCAAGCTGCTGGTTGTCACCTTCATGGCTTAGGACCAGGTTATCTGAGGGACCATCTCTTGCTGGTCACATCTACTTGACCCACCAGAGCGGGGAGGCAAGGATTGTTGCAGGTGCCATCCCCTAGGGAGATACACCTGGTGGAACCAAGAAGAAAGGCCTTCTCCGTAGTGGCTCCCTCTCATTCCCCTAGAGATTAAAATGACCCCCATTCTGACACTCTTCCGGAAGGCGCTGAAGACCTGGTTCTGCCAGTGGGCCTGGGAAACACAAAGCGGGATGAAGCCCATTAATTGGCTCATAATGATGTGTTGTCACCGGAGCAAGGGGTGGGGGGTTATTTTATTATATATGATTATCTCTTTTATTAGTTTTATTGTTTTTATATGATGTTTTTATATTCTTGTAAGATGACTTGAGTCGCTATGTGAGAATAGGCTACAATATAAATATAAATATAAATAAATACATACATACATACATAATCTTATCTTGAGTATAACTTAATCATTTTAATTTTTTAGTTTTTTAAATTATTGCTAATGACTATAATACTACTTGAACATTTCATTATGGTTGTGTTTTTTTTAATTCTTCTATTTTGTGGTGGTTTTCACAAAAGTTAAATTCTCTGAATAAATAGAAGTAAATTGTAATCTCATACACTGACTGTGTGGCAAATTAGATAAGTAGACTACCAATGAAGATAAATGAGTATAAATGAGGACTTTCATCCACTTGATAAACAAAGACAGCTTCAGAGCATTATCAAAAGGGAAAACTCCCTGGAAGCCTCATCCCAAATCAAATATATGATTTGTTCTGACAATCATGTGTTGAATCCTGCAAATCAGTCATTGGTAGCTTTATCTTCACCGGTTGATAAGTAAATAAAACCTTGGGTCTTAAACTGGTTGAATGAAAATAGAATGAGTGACTGAAGCTGCAGTGACTGTGATTCCTGCCTTTGAAGCCCACAGAACTAAGATGATTTCTTAAGATGCTCTTAAGATATCTCAAGATATCACCTTCATTCCAAAATATCACCCCAAGATATCACCTTGAATCATTCCAAAAAGAAGCTCATTAAAGACTGCTGCTGCAGTCAAATCTACCAAAATATATAGAATGTATCAAAAAGTCAAATTCCATAAGCCATTAGAATTCACATTAGAGTAAATGTTACTGTGTATTCATAGGTCATGAGTTAAAGGAATCAGGAAGTATTCAGAACAAAATGGCAGCCAATTTGAACATTTAATGTAATGTATTTAATAAATCGTGTTATACGGGACTATGGGACAAGCTCTCATTCCAAGATGGTACAAATAAATGTATGTGAAATTGATCACTGTTTTGCAATGCTTAATAAAAAATGATTTAGTGTAATTACTAAAGGGAGCATTAGGCAAGTTTGTCTGCATGCTGACCATGACTCATTCAATAATTAAAATGTGAGTTGAAGTGGGGTCCTACTTTAATTTCCTAAGTATTAAGGTGGATAGGTGTTTGTTTTTGTAACTTCATCACTGGTATTGAACAACATGTTCAAAACCTTAAATTTGCTTTGGTTAAATAGGTAAATTAACTTACTTAACATAAAATTACATTGATAACAACTTATTAATTAGTCTCTCCTTTGTACAGGACAGAATAGTCCATTGGTAGATATGGTCCATAGTTTATTGGTTTTGGTAGGGAGAAGGAAGGTGACAGTGACCAATTTGATGACACAGTGGGGGCAGGAGTAGCATCCTCTTTTTAACTCCTATTAAGGTGAATGATGGCCTGATTTTATAGACTGTGGGTTTTACAGTTTAAATGTAAAATATAACATGTAGGAATTTAAGCTAATGATGATTTTAATAGCTGACCAGCTGCGATAAGGCTGTAAACCAAGATGATGCAATGAGAATGAGTCAGCGGGGTATCACTTTAAGAGGCTGACTATATAAGGGAGGCCATTAGAGGGCGTCTCTCTCTTCTCGTGTATCTCTCTCCTCATGTTCTATCTCCATTGTAGTTCTCTGTGTATTTCTATACGTGTGTGCTTTCTGTTATAGTTGAAGATTGATTGATTGCCTGGCTTTGCTTACCACGTATATGTATATATACTGTAGATAACTTGTAGATAAACCACTGTTCATAAGACAAAACCTCTGTGTACTGTATTTTGCTCCTGGGTTGTCTTAAACTAGCAGTCACACTGTGCACACTCTGACAGAATTTCAAGAATTCTTTGAACAATGTTTGTGGTTTACTGTCTCAGAATGGTAGGAAAAGCCCACTACAGATTTTTAGGACTTGCACTGCCAACATGTGGGTGGTGCGTTTGGAAGTGGTTCCAGGGATTGCAAAAAAAGGGGGGGGATTCAGGGCTGGAATTTGCCTAATCCTGCTCAGAACCATGTCTGTACAAGCAACCCCTACAATAATCAAGTGCATGGATAAACACAGCACAATCCTGGGGTGGGAGTGCGGGAGAGATAAAATACAAAATTTGCTGTGGACCATGTTCATTATATCTTTGTTTAAACATTGATTCACGGCTAAAAGAGACAGAAGGCACAGTGTGAAGTAGCACTAGGAAATTAGACTCTGCGGAGAATGAAATTGTGTAACTTGCTACTGTTTGCATGCCCCAATTCATCCTCTCGCTGTTTTGTGCTTTTATCCCCTTTGCAGGCCTTGTGATGAGCAGCATCCAGAAGTCAAAGCCGACCTTTATGTGAACAACCTGGCAGAAGCTGTTGATGTAATACTCAAGTATTTGCATAAATGAAAATGCTGCAGGAGTCCACTCTAGGCAGATGTTAATGTAAGATCTTTGGCATAGCTGCACATTTCTAGCAATGTTCAAGCCTTCCTCCATTGTTTATGGACTAATTGGGAAGCAACTTGCAGTATCACAAACATGCCTTCAACAGTCTAGTTTAATTTGCCATTGTATCTAGTTAACCACAATAAAAACAAAAAGTTCAATGCATCCCTGTTACTCTGCTCTAGGAATCCTTTGAATCTTGTTTGTCTGATTTGGGGGTACTGTAACACATCACTGAATAAACCTCTGTGCCATGGGAACTGTTTTTTGTCTTGGCCATTTTTTATTATTATCTTATTTCTTGCAAAAAAGAACCCTACAGGAGGGGTGTCAAACTCGATTTCATTGAGGGCCGCATCAAGCTTGACCTCAAAAGGTCGGGGTGGGTGTGGCCAGGGTACGCATGGCCAGATCAACATCACTCATGTCGGGGGCACCTGTGGTGGCCCAAGTGCTCTGCCATCAAAAATGGGCTCTCGAGCTCCGTTTTTGGTTGTGACAGCCTCCTGCAAGCCTCTGCCAGTGAAAATGGAGCTCGGGAGGGCCGCATGCAGCCTTCCCAAGCTCCGTTTTCACTGGCAGAGGCATCGCAGGCTGGTCCTTCACTGTTTCCAGGCCAGTCCCTCAGGCTGGATCTAAGCATTACCCAGGTCAGATCTGGCCCGCGGGCCTTGAGTTCGACACCCCTGCCCTACAGAAAGCAATCACTGCAGATTCTAAAGAATTTTGTGCAGAATTACCTCAAAAAACATAAGTAAGATCACGTCTTTGGATAATTTTTCATTTTTATTGTCTTCACCAATTCAGTAGGAAGAAAAAAAGGATCATGCTATGGAATATAGACAGATGTTTATACAACAGAGTGTTGATCAGCATCCATACTACAGCTGGCCCATATGTTTCTTCCTCCTTCCTCTGGGACAGGACGGATCTTCCAAGTTTTCAATAGAAGCTGGTTTTCCAGTGTTTTGAGGGTGGCATCCTGTAGCATCAAAACAAAACTTTCCACACTCCCAGTCCCTGAAGCAATTTTGCTTTCTTTTAATCTATTTTAACAAGAAGAGGAATGAATTACATAAACATAATGCAGAACATGTAGATGGTTTTAAGATGCATGCAGCCTTCCTGAAATTAAAGGAGGAACAGCAGACCAGCGTTTGAATCACTGGCAGGCGTACATCTATTACTTTAGTTTCAAAGCTGGATTGAAAGATCCACCTAGAGTGGATGCTACCTTTATATTACATTTATATATTACATTTCTTCTTTGAAACTTGAACATTCTTACAGATAGTCCTTGACTTACAACCATTCATTTAGTGACCATTCAATGTTACAACAGCACTGAAAAAAATGACTTATAATTTTTTTCCCCCTGTAATCTGGACTGTCCCAGGGTAGTTTCAAAAAATACTTGACCTTCAGTTATTGTGACCTCCTGATGAAACCCAAATTAAATAAGAGCTCATCAGTTGATATTTTGTGTACAGGTAATCCCCAAGTTATGAGCGTTCCCTTAGCGAACGTTTGAAGTTACGTGATAAGCACCCTCTAGTGTTTATGAACAACTCCCAAAACTATGAATCTTGAAGTACCATGGCAGTTATTCTCCCTTTCAAACAACAACAGAGGCTCTGCAACATTCATCCTGCATTTTGCCAGCCAAAATGGAGCATTGGAATGGTGGGCCTGCCCCTCCGAAGTTCTCCCTCCCTCCCTCTCTCGTTGCTAAGTGATTTGTCACGTGACCATGAGGATGCCACAACGGTGATATGTGTGAAAAATGGTCATAAGTCACTTTTTTCAGTGCTGTAACTTCTGTCACTAAGGAACTGTTGTAAGTCAAGGACTACCTATTTGGGAAAACATTTGTGCAGTTGCATCCTAAAAGTGATTGTTTGGTTTTCAGACATATAAAATTCCCTAATATATTTTCCCTGACGTGAGAAAAATAATTTCTTGTCTCAGGATCAGGCACCTCTTCTTCAGATCAGGTCCTTCACAATTAAAAAGAAACCCTCTTAACACCCTCTAATTACATGAGTTGTTCTGTCAAATTTAATTATAACCTGGTTGCGAATCATACCCAATATACAATTGGCTTCTCATCAGACTGGCATTCAAGATCCCAGACTTCATGATGACATGCGTTTTGCACTGACAGTCTTTCTTTGCTGGGTATGGATTTGACATTTTCATTTATAATATTCCATAAAAGAAGGAATTAAGACATTAATGAATGTTAATTATTACTTGGAATTGCAGTTAGCGGCTTCCAGATTCTTCATCAAAAGTATCTGCAAATCTAGAAATAATGGGATAGACTTGCAATAGTTGGGGGGTTAAAGAAGAGAGGGACAGAACAGAGAAACTGTACTTTTGTACAATTTTCTATATATTGTTTTAACTTAACAAAACATCCAAGTCTCTCTCTGATGAAAAGGATGGCTGGCTGGCGAATGCCACAGGTTGAAGGCCACAGGTCTTAAAGTTGCCAAGATTGGACGCCCTGCTCTAAACAAATATCTTTGCAAAATTGTTCAGCTTGGGCTATCAATACCAAGTTGTTGCAACCAGATCCCTTTCCTGCATAAATATATTCTTGTTTGGACCCGTTGCCACAGAAACATTTTTGATTTGGTGCCACACCATAATAGTATTTAGAAGATTTACCTAGAATTTAAAATTCTCCAGAGTCATAAAAGTTGGAAAAAAGTGGATATGATCAGCGTTGGCGATATGCTTCATTTATAGATACAACTTGATGTTGGCCAAATTGGAAGAGAAAGTGTTAGCTATGCAAGTTTTACTATACTATACTATGATATAAAACACTTCCACATAGGAATTAGTGTAACATTTATCTGTGACTAAGCTGAAGTGGTGGGTTACCCCTGGTTTGGACCCGTTCGCAAGAAGCGGTAGTAAAACCGGCAGGAGGCCCTGCCCACTGCCCCAGATGTTGTCATCGACGATCTGCGCATACCGTTGCGAACCAGTAGTAAAGGTAAGTAGAACCCACCCCTGCTAAGCTGAATCTTAGCTTTAACAAATCTGATGACTCCCACATCTATTCATATGTTTGTGTGCTATTGTAAGGGCATTTTTGATTTGGAACATTACATCGTATGAAGCACATGGGTACACTGATAGTTGATGCCGAAACAATTTGGAAATATTCAATATTCCTTTTAGTGCACAATGTTAACAGATGCTAATGAAAAAAAAAAGAATCTGATTACTAAAGTCATTATCAAATCCTTTTTGGCAGCGGTTTACTCAATGTGAGAGGTCACTCTAACATCTGCATATTTTCATATATATGTTCCTTAAATTGTTTGCTCATAGGCATTTTCATGATTCAAGGCTTCTTAAATAAGTTTTTTAATCTTTTATTTTGCCAAAAATATTTTTATTCTGCATTTTTTCCTCCAAAACACGCCTTTTTCCAAGGAATAACATTAGCTCTGTGGAAGAATATTTATTTTTACAACAATTTTTTAAAGGCATATGTGTATTATTGGGTGGCAACAGATTTCCTGACTCAAAACTCAGCTGAAAAACTTGAGCTGGAGAATCAATCGAAAGTCCTCATAATGTTAGGATCAAAGCACATTGCCATTTTGTGCTGGCTTTGCTGACAAACACAACTGGCTTGGAAAATATTGTGGCTGGAGATACACATTGTAGGCAATAGTATTTGCTAGCAGCAACTAGAAGTCCTGGGTGCTGCAATACACTAAATGAAATAATGGATCTGTTGGATGGAAATCCGCTGATCCTACCACAATTTCTTCTAGAGTCCATCCTGTCAGATTTCTGAGGAATCAGACTTAGGAGAACCTTCTCTTTCTATTCTCTTGATAAAGGGATCACCATGATTAAGTGGACTGACAAATCAAATAAGCAAGGTTGGATTTAGAAAAAATCCTTCTGAAAAACTTGATGGACAAGTTATATTAATTGAAAGCCCGTAGTGAATTCAGAGGTTAACACTGCTTGTGTTGCATTTGAACTGAGCTTTATGAACACCTGAGCCCAGAAATATAATCCTTACGTCATTATTAATTCTCATTGGTCCTTGGCTCAAATTTTGCTCTTGTTACTGTATATGGCCAAAATCATTCAAGTTTTCTTCCAGGACTAGGACATTTTGTTTCTGTAAAGCTTGAGTAGACTTGTGAGAGAAAGGGAGACGGATGCAAATGAAAGAAAATATTTCCTCAACTGCTTATGCTACAGAGCATGAAATCTATGGCTCTTTAATGCAAAGAAATTAAATTAGTAGTTTAGAGGATCACTGAAGAGCAAAGAAATTGCTTGTAGATAATTTCATGCCTAAAGATGTACCATTTCATTTTGCTAAATCAGGGGTTTTCAAATGTTGCAATGTGTGCCCACTAAACGTTAATTTGCCTCTGCCTCCTATTGATGGGTGGCATGGTGAGCTTGGTGCCATGGTCTCTTCCCAAATCAGATGGGTCCCAAATCAGACTGCCAATTTTCAGATAAACTGAGAGGCTTTTGATAAGCTAATTATACAGACAACTATACTCAAGTGTGTTAAAAAAATATTGCAGATTTGTCTACAGGTAGTCCTCAACTTACAACAGTTCATTCAGTAACCATTCAAAGTTACAACAGCACTGAAAAAAGTGAATATTTTTACACTAGTAATTGTTTTAGCATTTTCATGGTCACGTGATCGAAATTCACATGCTTGGCAACTGATTTGTATTTATGACGGTTGCAGTGTCCTGGGGTCATGTGATTTACCTTTTGCAACCTTCTGACAAGCAAAGTGAATGGAGGAGACAGATTCACTTAACAACCATTTTACTAACTTCACAACTTCCTTACTCATTTTAATGATGTTAAAATTGTTACTACATACCAGGGGTGTCAAACCAGGGGTGAAATGCTCCCGGTTCGGACCGGATCACCCGATCTGGTAGCGATAGAGGTGGGCTGGTTCGGAGAACCGGTAGCAAAAATCCCTGGTTTCCCCCTCCCCCCATTGCCCAGCTGAGCCGCGCAATCATCAGAGGGTTTTTTTTTATTTTTAAAAACATTTTTTCTACATCCTCTTTGGCCGAAAAAATGCTTTTAAAAGTAAAAAAAAAGCCTCTGATGATCGCACGGCTCAGCTGGGATCATCAGAGGCTTTTAAAAGAATTTTTTTTTACAACCTCTTCAGCCAAAGAGGTTGTAGAAAAAATGGTTTTAAAAGAAAAAAAAATGGCCACGCTCACTGTCATATTACCCCACCAAGCCACGCCCACAGAACCAATAGAAACAAATTTTACATTTCACCACTGTGTCAAACTCAACGTTGTCCCATGATGTATTGTGACTTTTCCCCTTTTGCTAAAATGGGGATGGGCATGGCTAGTGCATGATGCATCCGGCCCATAGGCCACGAGTTTGACACCCCGCTATATACAGCAAATGCTTTATACTAATATTCTACCATCGTGGTGCTTCTTTTGGCAGCTCTGAACATTTTTCTGCACAGTAATAGTTACGTTTGAAAAGGATATGCTTCATCTCATTACAGGTAGTCCTCAATTTACGACAACAACTGAGCCCAAAATGTATGTGGCTGAGAAATTTGTTAAGTGAGTTTTGGCCCATTTTACGACTTTTCTTATTTTATTTATTTATTTTATTTCCAATTTATATACCGCCCTTCTCCCTGAGGACTCAGGGCGGTGTACAGCCAGAATTAAGAACACGAAATACAAATATTAAAAAACAATTAAAATATATATAAATTTGGCCCAAAAATTAAAAATCACAAACCAATTAAAACATTTAAAAATTTCTTATTAAGCCAGCCCGGCTTGCTGGAAAAAGTGGGTTTTAAGGGCACAGCGGAAGGCACTGAGGTCTTGGATTCTCCTTATCTCTGGGGGCAACTGATTCCAGAGGGTAGGTGCCCCCACAGAGAAGGCCCTTCCCCTGGGGATCACCAGCCTTCTTGTCACATTTATTAACTGAAACACAGCAGTTGTGAAATTAGTAATACGGTTGCTAGGCAAACCCGATTTCCCCATTGACTTTGCTTGTCAGAAGGTTGCAAAAGGTGATCACAACACTACAACCATCATAAATGTGAGTCAAGCATTCGAATGTAAATTATGGAGATGCTGCAATGGTCATAAGTGTGAAAAATGGTCATAAGTCACTTTTTCCAGTGTCACAACTTCAAACAGTCACTAAACGAACTGTTGTAAATCAAGGACTACCTGTATAATTTTATGGAGGAGTGGCTGGAATCTCCTTGTGCTTTGAGCAAAAATGACCAATTTTAAAATATGCTAAATAATGAATGTATCCAGAATACAGATATAGTCCTACAACTGAAGAGGCACGATGAAAGCGTTCCTACTTTTTCAGAAGCTGAATATATTTAACGATAGCATAACACAAGAAAAAAATAGTGCTGAATAGCAGTTACAGAATCAGAAAGCTTTATTTACACAGAGTAACAAGTAAATTCCTGAGACTGCGCTGCTCTATAGTGCAATAAAGTCATTTGAGAGAGTACAAATCAGCAGTTTTCTTAATTTTTCATGTCAGGGAACAGTCTTCACCAACATTAGATTTTGAACAAACACCAACTACAGAGCTGACTTTGTATATATGTCAATATGTTTGCATCTGTGCAATTACCATGAACAAAAAGACACATACATACATATGTACGTGTACACACCCACACACCCACGCACACCCACACACCCTTGGAACTAAACATCGCTAGACTTCATGGATTTTCAAAGGCTTTTTGACCATCATCATGTTCTGATTCATTGGTTCTTAGACACTGAAAATATAAAATGCTGAAAAAGACAGCTATAATTCTAAAAATATTCTCTAGTCCTGTTTCAACAAGGAGTATCTAAAATGTATTTGTAATACAATTATTATTGGGCCAAAGAAACTATACTACTTGTGAAAAATTACAGTAAAATCCAGAAATACGTTCTATTTCACCTTATTCTTTTCTTCAGTGTGTCATTAAATAAAACGTTTCATGAAAACCAGTTCTAAATAGCAATGACTGTAGATCTACAATACATTCCCTATAAGAACATTCATCAGTGCTAATAGGACAAAACCCTTCCATAAAAGTTGCATTTAAAAACTCTTTTTTTTTTTTTTAAAAAGGGAAAATGATTGACATTTATTGCTGTTGTCATTACATTTCCACAGTACAGATTGTTCCGTGTGCCAACTAAGCTGTTGTCCGTCTCCCTGCTGATTTGAATGTACTGTTTAGCAAATAAAAATATTCGTTGCGATGGTAGTGAATGCTCACAAAAAAAAGTCAATATACCTGATCAAAACCTGCTATAAGAGCTAGTTCCAGTAAACTAACCAATCCGGCAGGAGCACAAGATCCCCATTAAAGGAATCCAATGGATTTTTTTTTCAGTGGATATGACCAAGCATAGATGCAGCTGAACATCATTATTTTTTTCTGAACAGCACCCCTGTATGTTACCATCAAAAGTATTTTCCGTAAACATAAACTTATATTTCAGATGTTTACATTTTGTGTGAATGTACATATGCACATACATCTCCTTTATATATACACCCATACATACGTATACACACATTCTTACATCCCATAACATTTTGCTTCTATTTAAAAAAAAAAAAGGAAGAAGTAAGGCTTTAAAAATTTAGTTTCAATACATAAATCATACAGCAACACCAAACCCAATGCAATCCAATGAAATGCCACCTGGGATTAATTTTAGGAAAACACTATATTATTAAGTATGCAGATGTGTTCACTGTAAGGCCATTTGCTAGTGAAGCATCATTGCTAAGGCAAAGAAAGTTTGCAGCTATATAAACTAAGCTACAGCTAGGCGAGTTGGGTAGTGATCCTTGGGGGGGGGGCACTTTCCTACTCTGTGTACTTAGCTTCTCATAGCTTGCAGCCCTTTTTGTTTTTAGAAAGCCCTTATGCATAAAAACCCCAAATAAGAAAAGGCTGCCTCTATAGCACTAAAGACAAAGCAAACTGTCATTAATCAAGATGTCTGTTAAGTAAAAGCTGATACACTATCTCAAAAAGCATACGGTTAATGGCATAAGATGTACTCTCTGTTGGCAAGCCAAAAATGCTATGATTAGGAATCATTATTTCCAAGTGAAAATGTGAAAGCAAAGAACACACTATATTTATGCACAGCAGACGGGCAACCATTTCTCCGAGGATAGGACATGTTTAGTAAAAAAAAAAAAATCTCTGTAACAAAGTTGGTGGGGAGAATTTTGACAGAACCATGCAATAAAATGGAAAATAAATCCAGTGGGTTGGATCCAGATTAAATGAAATGAAGATACCTCTTACTGAAATGAGTCTTCAGTAACTTACCACACAACCCTACACATTTACTCAGAAGTAAGTCAAACCAAACTCAGTTACTTTGATGTAATATATATATATATACAACTACAATCATGATATGGATCTGATCCAAAAATTGCAATTATTTTAACAGTACCACAGCTAAATGCTGCGTGTTATATTTGCAGTGTTTTTTTTTCAAAGAAAAAAAAAATAAGAACAGCTATGCTGATAAGAAATATGGATCAATGTGCCATATCTGACATAGTTAATAACCTAAGTAATAATCCATTTGACTGCCTATTCCAATATGCCATGGTAGGAATTTTCAACCACTGCTCAACAGATCTTTGACCGTATACATGTAGCCTAAGTATCAAATCTATTATTCAAAATTTGCATTGAGTAAGCTCTTTGAGTAAGCCATGGCCACCTGATTGGTTGTCCAGATGTTATACAACCAAAACCTGTATCTAATAACATGGTATGCATACTTGCACACAACACCCTACAGACTGCACTCTGTTTATATCAATAATTAAAGATGATTCATTTGCCATTGTAATTTTTGCCCATAGTGACATTCAGATGATAAACAACAGGCTTAGCTTGTCAACATAAATGTATTTAATTATTACACTCAATGGAAAGGTTATCTCTCTAGTAAGAGCTTGGATATCACTTGAACAAAGGCAAATTTTATAGCACCATTTGATTCTGGTGCTGTCCTCAGTAATAGCGGTAAGCAACTTGTATGGTTAAAAATGATTTCGCATGTATTTTATTCTTTCTCATTTATCACACAATACTGGATTATCCAACCCCTCTGCCATTCATTTCACCTACTTTTTCTCCAGGTCTTCCAGGTAGGAAGAAATTCTCAAGAAGAAAATGTGATTCCTTAGATGGTGTTGCGAAGGGCAGCAGCAATAGCTTTGTGTTCAGGCTGCAGAAGTCCCTGTCTCTAAAGCAGAACACCAAACTATCTTAATACGTCAGTAGCAGAGCAAAACAAAATCGCTTTTCGGTGTGTGTAATTGCCAAGCAACTTCCTCCAGTGTGCCTTATAAAAGGGGTGTCAAACTCGTGGCCCGCAGGCCAGATGCATCACACGCTGGCTACGCCCACCCTCACTTTAATGAAGGGGGAAAAGTCGCGATATGTCATGTGACGACAACATGACGCCGTGAGTATGACACCCCTGCCTTATAAGCTTTCTTTTGATCAGGAAGGATTAAGCTTTCTTTAGCAGTCACACTACTAATGGAGCTGAAGTCTGAAAGTGGATAATTTTGCCTTGGGAAAAAAATGGTATTCTTAACATTCAGATGATCAATATCAATTAAAAGCTTGTCTTAGAGTCAGCTAGAGTCTTAGACACATACACATCAGCCACTGTTTTATCTTTACACCAAAAACTGGTGGAAGGACTGGAATATGGTTTTTGTGAAAAAAACAAAACCTACAGGAATTACAGAATGTTGGTATAAGTACAATTTTTAGGAGCTCAGTGCCCATGATGAAGCCAGACACATTTACGTGAGCGCAATGTACCTGGAGCAGTGGAATTGATACTATTGCCAAGATAAGAGATTTTCTCAGAGCTCCTAACATTCAGTGTTCATAATAACATTGCTACATAATTACAGCCACTACCATTACCTGCTAAAATTGGAAGGGAAGGGTCAAAAGCAGTAAGAGGTTTTACAAGAGAGATACAGAAGGAAGATTTCCAGATCTGTCATGATCCTGATAACCCACAGTGAGATCTAAAACTAATTAATTCAGACCAAATTATAAAAACAAAACAAAACCTAATTCCAACTCAAATCTATGAAAACTTGCCCCTTATAACTTTTCTAGGTTTCTGAAAACAAGTAATGTATGTTAACTTGGGTTGCAAATCGACAGATTTTGCAAGCATGAAAACTGAGTCTTTTCATAAAGACCACCAAGTTATTCCATGGCACCAAAATGTAAATAGATATTCCAGCTTAATACTATTTTTATTTTCACTTGCGTATCTGTATGCGCATAAACACATACACATATGGCTTATATGTCACATAAGCTTCAAGCAGAAAATAATAAAAATGAACATGTGAAGAAATAAAGCCTATGTGAAAGTTTAAATGAGCAATTGTAAAGCTTTATCTTAGATGAGATCTTCTGTGATTTAGGTGCCATAAGCATTAATGCCATTACGGGAAAAGTTAAAAATAGGATACCATTTTTAAGAAATAATCTCTTGTTTTTCCTTTCATAAAGAAAGGATTGGATTTCATTTATAACTGAATAACTTGGTTGCGTCATTATGTGCTAAATTATCATTGTTGGTTGCCCAACATAAGGAGTTAAGAGGTGGAAGGGAAACTATTGGAGTGTCAAGTGAATATTAGAATCTCAAACAGCATTTTGTATTAGTTTTGTTATAGCGAAACCCCAAGCCTCTGCCACCCACATAGCTTAAACTACTGTGAATTCAGGGAATTATAATCACAATTAGAGGATACTAAAGTGAGAAAGGCTATTTTAAAATATGTATTGAACAACATAGTGGTTAAACACATGTTCCAGCAATATAATGGAAAGTAAAGCAGAGCACTGAATCGTTAGTCTAAAGCTCTTATTACCTATTGTGATCCATCTGTCCCTGTTTACATAGCTATATGATCAAGTTTCCTTAGAATGAAATATAAAATGCAAGAACCACTCAATTCATAAGGAAAACTGAATTCCATTCTTCTTCAAAATAAATCATGCACCATTGTTTCATAATCTGCAAACTATGATTTGTGCTCGCCAACCAAATAACAATTGTAAGTGACAGGCTGATAATGGATTATAATCTTATTTTAGAGGAGAAATACAAACACTATTTTTGGCAATTTAGATTTGCACGCTTTGACAATGAAGACCTGTTTGCCTGTTACTAAAGCATGGCTTGGTGTTACAATTGAATAAAATCTTCTGTTACTTTAGATATCTTGACAATCAAGTCAAAACTGCACCAAGTTTAGACGAGTACATTTCTGTCACATTTGTGTGAACATTCACTAATCATGGCTATGGTTTCCTGGGCTTTATGCTGAGCACCAAGTTTAGTCTCCTGAATATCAAGACTTATTTTACAAAAGCCACACACATACACACACACATACCTGTGCACATTCATTTGTTTCTAGAAATTAACTAGATGTACTTTGAAAAAACAGAATCCGAAGCTGTGGCTGAGCAGAATTTCCAGTGTTTAGAAGACAGAACCCTGGTTCTGCTTGATTATTTGCCCCATCTTTGGAAGATGTATGCTAAAATGGTTAGTGAATTTGGGGATGCTATATGTAATACAATTTAATATGTTGCAGAACTGAAAGCTGAGAATGAGACCAGCAAAATCAGTGTGGGTATAAAATGAAAGGGTGAGAAACTCTATAAATACCACAACAGGAAATGAGTGATGACATCTTTCTCACAAGACTTAATGTAACTATCATAAGCCAGGCCGTGTAAACTGCTTCTGCAGTGAAACATTAAACCATCATAAAAGCAAGGCAAACCAAGCCCAAAATAAAACAGAGATAATCCGCCAGACGAGGATTTCTCAACCTCAGCAACTTGAAGATACATGGACTTCAATCTCAGCATACTGGATGGGAAAGTCTGGGAGGCAAAGACCACACTTCTTAAAATTACTGAGGTGGAGAAACATTGATCAAGACTTTTTGGGGTTATTAAAAAGGAAGGGGAATATAAGGAAACTAGTGGAGGTATCTTTTAGAATCTACAGCTAGGCTTCCCAGTGCTCATATACAGCAGTGCCTGATGTGACATAATGGAAATGCTGAATAATCTTCTTTTTTGACAATAATAATACACTCTTCAAGATTTGGTTGCCTGTATTTTGCACTAGGTTTAATTTCTTCTACAGCAAATTAAGGAAACAGGGAAGTGGGTTTTTGTTGGATGTACTTTCTTTTTCTTTATATTCATCTCCTGTAGTAGCAGTGGCAGAAAGTGTCATACGTAATCTGACACAGACCACTCAACAGTGCCATGCGTGCTCAACTATTGGGCTACTGTTGTTCACTGAAGATAGAAGTAACACATTACTGTATACTCTATATTATTTTCATCTTTTCACTTGATGAAAATACCTAAATACTGAGTAATGACTGAAAAACAAGATTTATCTTTAATTTTTTCTACTGATGAATGTACGACAAATGGTACAAAATGCAGGTTTAAGAGACTTCACATCAGATAAGAGCCATGATCCCTTTTCAGATGCCAACTACTAAATTATATATCTCTCCCATATTAAATCATATACCATTACAGATTATAGTATCACCAGTTTAATTTCATTATTCCTTGAAATTTCACTAAAATATCAAGAGTGCAAAAATTTTCTCAATATTTTATTTCTCTAGAAAAAGCCTCTGTCCTCTTCTTACCGGTAAATTAATAGCAACCATGAACGAGAGGTCATGCATCCAAGCGTGCATCAAACCCATTAAATCTGGTGCAGGTGAAGATGAGTAAGAGCGCATACCTGTATGTTTGATTTGGATAAGGAGGCCTCTTAATAAGCACAGATCTCTTTTACTGATATGAATAAAAATCCATTGTGCTTTCTTTTCATAATGTTATTGGTATGTGTATGTCTATGTACGTCTGTCTATCTGTGTGTTTAGTAGACCATAACAAACTGTGATTCTGGGAATTTACATATATTATGAGAAATTTGATTTGTGAGATTTTGTAAGATCTATTAATAGGTGATCTAAAAACAACAACAGAAAATGAATTCAAATAATAATGCTAATCTCCACTTTTTGCTCCTTTGATAAGGATAGCCGAGGTGCAATTTATATCAGCCAACAGCAAAAAAAAAAAAAAAAAAGCTTATTTATATTACCAAATGCCATTCCCTTCAGGAGATGGACCTGCTGACTTTCTAGGTGGCAAATTAGCCTACTTTGAAAAAAAAAAACAACGACCAGGAGTTTTTGGTCTTTCCTTTCAAGTTTTGATACATCCACAGAGCTTTCTTTTTCTTTTAAATATCTTGATGTTACATTGTAAGTTTTCCCTATGAAGAGCTACAGTAGTTCTAATAAGTCCCCAAAAAAGCTAAACAAATTTTGGCAAAGCTTTTTGTACTGGTTCACCTGCCAAGGAGAGGGAAAATGTGGATTTTTCTCCTCTGGTTTGCATTAACGTGTGAGTTTGCCACTGCTAAAAGCCTTGGTGCAGGCAGATCCTTCCCCTTAGTGCTCTCAGTTGTTTTCTATTTGCTCAATATCTAATTCACCACCCAACTGAAAGATGTTATCCCCACCGGTCCCACTGTTCCTCCATGAGGAGTGTTCAACTTCTTTCCTACTATTCTCATCTTCTGTAGCACAGAAATCTGAGTCTTCATAGGAGAAATCTTCTTCCTGGTTAGCATGATGTTCTTCTGAATTTGAATGAGGCTCTGGCACAGGGGTGCAGGCTGGTGTCCTGCCAGGCATGACGTCCACGTTGGTGGCCCATGAGTTATTGCTGCTGGTGCCAAGGGAGAACTGGTTCTGCTGAGGGCAGTCATCGACTGTGGTGCTAAGACTGTTGAAAGTTTGACAGTTCTGCAAAAAGATAAAAGAAAGCAGACAACTGAATGGACATCAATCCATACACGAACATGAGTCTTTCCCTTTTAGAATTCTATTATTTCTTCTACTGCATCGTCATCTTATCATTTTAGGATGACTTTCCAAAGCTTAAATAAGATTTTTTTAGTCACTGCCATAAAGAAATATGTACAAAGCATGAGTGCTGCCAAGAAACCAGCCCTATCCCAAGAAGATGAACAGTTAGAGATGTTAATTACATTTTACTGAATTTTTAGCAGACTTGATTAAAATTGATTGTGTGTACTCCCTGCAGTAGTAGTTCAGGCTTTATACTAGTATAAAGCCTGAACTACTGCAGGCAGTATACACAACTACTGCAGGGAGTATACACAATCAAAGTATAAAGCCTAATTCTAGATTTCAGTGAAAACATTTTATTGCATGATTCTTAAGAGTGCAATCTTTAGGACATAGGATAGGTCTAGATTTCCCATCTCCCAAACACAGGAACTAGATCTGAACTTCAGAGGAGGAAGAACATGATCAAGTTGCATGTTCTGCCTTTCTGTCAGCCTCCAGAAATATTCAAGAACTTAAACAGAGGCTAGGCAGGGGCTGACATGAAATATTTTAGATCCAAAAGACCGGAGATTTACTCTTCTGTTTGCAAAGAGATAGGTAATTATTTTAAAAACATGGATTAAAATAAAACCATAGGTCAGCACTGCTTTCTTACTTTCCTTTGCTTTTCCTTTTTTGACCTGCAAGCAGCCAGAGAGATAATTTAGCTCAATTTATAAGAAAGGCTTAGAACCACTCCATTAGAAACCATCCAGGGGTATGGATTAAATTCATGCACTGAGAAGATAACAGGGTCACAGATTTCTACTTCTGAATCACTGTCATTCTGGTTTCCCCCCCACAAAAAAGTCTTGCCCTGTTTATAGATTTACAAATCAGAAAGATCACATTTGCAAGCTTCCTTCCCCATCCTTGAAATCCACAAACCAAGTTTGCCCACACTGAATTTGGGGGAAAGGATGGCTCTGTTGGGAGGAAGGCATTATGACTTTGTTGCAGATGTAAGCTTATTAGCAGAGGAAGCATTTGTTAATCATGAGGTCCCAGCCTCTGACAAGGTACTTTGGTTTCCAGTTACCTGGTAACTACCAAAAAACATTCCGTTTGCAAACAGTGCTGCAAATGAAGTGGTTTAGCTCTCCGAATGGCACTTTTCACTCCTCTCTGCTCAGAAGCAATTGTGTCAACACCTGTTCTCTTGTGTGCCAGGATTAAAGGTGTATACTATCTCACACTGAAAGGGATCTTTTCAGTTTTTTCAATTGCAGAACAAGGGTTCTGTTGATTAGGGTCCAAAATTTTGTAGGGCAGCCTTCCTTCGTCTCATCTTATGATAAATAAAATTCAGGAGCACCAAACACCTTTCTAAAACATTCATCGTTTGCAAGGAAAAAGACCTAACTAATTAATTGGTTAGCCTGAACCATTGTATAGTTGCTGTGACTAGATGAGAGGGGGAGTGCAATTCTGCTGGAGATTTTTGAAATCAAACACAGCACTGCCTTAAACTGCAATCCACCGGCTTGCCAGTTTTATCCCGAGAAGCCTGAGGTGATGTTCCAAAGTTCATAGAGACAAAAGATAATATCCTGCTGAATTCTGCACCCGTTTGCAAAATTCAAGTGACAAGCAGATGATTTGCCCATTCCTGGGGTGCTAAGCTCAAGGCCAGTTCCCAGACACAAGTTCAAACAGCTTGTGGTTTTATTGTAATTATCAAATATTAGGAGAGGGCAGGGCAGGTTTACTGATTTTTTGGGTAGGCACTGAGTAAATGTGAAGCTATGGGAACAGATCTTCTGCAAAAAAAAAAAAAACACATCTCCAAAGAGGAGAGATACCAAGTCAGGTACCAAACAGTAGTTCCCATTGTAACTCTATTGTTTCAAGGTCATGCAACCTCTGAAAAAAAGTGCTCTGGGAACAGCCTGTGCAGCCGCTACCCACCTTAATCTCCCTTTTAAAAGCCATCTTGCAAAATAACTTCCCTGCACTGATGTGAACCAACATCTAGCTCTTCTTCCTCCATCCATTGTTCCACACTATAAAAAGTTGGTTGGAAATCTAGCAACAAGATGGAGCAAACGGGGTTCCTGGTTGCAGAGAGTTGGAGCACAGCTTCCCTTTTAATGAATTTATTGCCGCAATAAAAGACTGCCTTTAAATAAAGTCATTCACATAATGACATGGGGGACAAGATGTGTCTCAGCTTGTGAAAAGGGAATGGAAATGAGGACTGGACTGATCAGAAACCCAAACTGATGCATGCTTTACTAGATCCTGGATGACTCTGTCAATAAGGATTCCTGCTTCCAAACTGATTAAACAATTGCAGTGATACCCGTTTTCTACCGTATCATCACAATGTGTTTCAGGGACAAGAGAGATCAGGAGTGGAACATTTCGAATTCTGATTCTCAAAAAAAATAACAATAAAAATTCTGAGCTTTAAGATCTTTAGTTCAGCATGCATGTCTTTTGCACTTGTTAGATCTTCTAGAACTTATTAAAAAAAATAAAACTATTCCCCCCCAAATCTGAAATTTTCCCCTTTCTTGAAATAAGGAATCAACAATAATGTTACAAGGGATTAGAAAAAGATGAAGCGATACTCCAGGCAAGAGACATTCTATACTGATTTAAGATATGGGGATAACAACATACGGTCTTTGATGTGTCATACTGTATGCTCCTTCAGTGTAACAAGAGGCAGAAAATAGAGGGAAATTTATCTGTGCCGAAGCTATTCAACTCCACAGCATCTGGATAAGGCAGGTGCAAAACCTGACAAGGCACTTGGTTTCACCTATTGAAATCATAACACAAGATGCTTTGAATGCTTCTCTCAAATCCACAGAACATGTTCTTGTTAAGATTCCTTAAAATTGGATTTCATCATTGGGTAGGCACCCTAAAGTACCTTGTTACAGTTCATAAAATGAAAAATCAAGATACAAGTAGTCCTTGACTTACGACCACAATTGATCCCAACATTTCTATTGCTAAGCGAGACCGTTATTAAGTGAGTTTTGACCCATTTTATAACCTTTCCTGCCACAATTGTTAAGTGGATCTCTGCAGTTATTAAATTAGTAACATGGTTGTTCAGTGAATGAATCTGGCTTCCCCCATTGACTTTGGTTGTCAGAAGGTCGCAAAAGGGGATCACATGACCCTGGGACACTGTAACCGTCATAATTATGAGTTGCCAAGCATCTGAATATTGATCATGCGTGACCATAGGGATGCTGCAATGGTCGTAAGTGTGAAAAAGGGTCATAAGTCACTTTTTTCAGGGCTGTTGTAACTTTGAACGGTCACTAAACAAATTGTTGTAAGTTGAGGGGTACTTGTAGTAGATTTTTGGAGGAATCATGAAGTGATCTGGTTGGATCGCTATGGCTCTTATATGTGCTTATCTGATATAGAAATCACTATATAAGCCATCTAGAATCGCTTGGTTGAATTGGGCAGCTATAGAAATTGAACGAATGAACAAACAAATAAACAAAAAAAATTTGGAAAAATCTGCAGTATACCAAGATACCAAATGATTAACTTTAAAATGTTTCCATAGATTTTTAACCAAATTATTTGGCTTGAGAATTGGGAGTTTTGTGGATAACTACAATAAGCTTTGCCCTTATATAATCTTATGGAAAAAAACACAAAGATAGCTGCAACTGAAACAGATGGAAGATCAAAGCTAGAAGCATTTTTAGAGCCAGGGCAGAGATCAACATGGCTCAGATAAAAGAGAAGGTGAGAATGAGCTATGAAGATAAGGTACGATCTTTAATATGTGCAATGCAAGGAAAGAAAACCAAACGGGTAACTCTAGATTTGTTTATTTTTAGTTATGAGTAGAAAGCTTTACTCTTATTTCTGTTAATGAAGTCCATATCCATAATTTACTTATTTTCTGATTGATGAAAAAGCTCCCAATGTGGAGATACAAAAGACAATAAAACTAATAGACACCTAACAATCAACATTTTATAAGAAATTATATAAATATATTGCTATTAGCATATAAAGGGGTACAAAATAGAGCTTATTCAATCTGATTTTAAAGTAATAACAATATAAATATAGAACTTTCAACCCTACCAAATCTCTAAAGGTGAAGTTGCACGTTCTATGCACAAATGCTTACACTTAAAACGTTCTAAATCAGAGCTATTTTATCTATTTATTATGTAATTACTTCATCCATAATTTCATGATAAGGCTCCTGATACCCTGTTTCCCCCAAAATAAGACATCCCCTGATAATAAGCCCAATCGGGCTTTTGAGCGCATGGCAATAAGGCCAAGCGCTTATTTCAGGGTTCAAAAAAACATAAGACAGGGTCTTATTTTTGGGGAAACATGGTAGTATATTCCAAACTGTGCCCAGTTTTGTCCAATTATGTGCATGCCAACCTCGTCTATAGCAACCCCTTAAATCTGTTGCTGCTTTTTCACTGCAACTTTAATGTTCCTCCTTCTCCATGTGCTTATCTTATACTGTCATGGGAAATAGCGAAGCTTCCATTATTACTGATCCTCTCTGGATTCAACACAAATGGAAAATCGGTTATTGGATAGCAAGAACAAAGGCTCCCAAAAGGAAGTTATGGTTACACTTTGATCCTCCTAGTATATAAAAACAGGATTATCCTGTGATTATTAAGTCTTATTTCCCATGAAGTAGAAGCGGACACTTTCTGTTCATTAAGTGACCCCAGATATTGGAACTTAAAGGAGTAAAGAACTATTAGAATGAGTAACACAGGCAATCCTCGACTTACAACCTTTCATTTAGTAACCGTTCAAAGTTACAACGGTACTGAAAAAAGGGAGTTATGACTGTTTTTCACATTTACAACATTGTAACATCCTCAGGATCACATGATCAACATTTGGATCCTTGGCAACTGGTTCATATT